GGAGGGGGGAAGGGGAGAGGGAGAGAGAGAGAGAGAGAGAGATTGAAAGAAGACAAGGAGGGGGAGTAAAAACTCTGTCCGCAATAGTGTAAGGTGCAGGTGGCCATAGAGGCAGTAAAAATATCACGATCCCATGCAAATGTTGCCATTTCAACATTTTATTGCAATCTTTAATTTGAATCAAACATTTACCAAACCAACCTCAAAAAGATTTAGAAAAACCTTAATGATGCACTTTTGAAGAGTGGAAGGGAAAGTTACTTTTGAGAAGAATACTGACTGTGAGAATAATATTCTGTTTGCATGTATCAGTAAATCTGATCCAGGACTGAAACACAAGACTCCCAATTGAAGAGCACATATTCAGGATACCAGCTAACTAGGAATAGTTGAGAAAATGGAAGTGGTGAGGAATACCAAGAACATCTAGGCCTTGTTCAGTTTGACAATTCGAATTGAGATGTGACTTTATATGAGAATTTTTAACTGTAACAAAAAAAATTAAATGTCACGTTTTGTGATAACTTTTAATTGTAGTAAATATAAAATAAAAAACTTAAGTCATAAAATAAACAAAATCTTAATATTTTTTCACTTTTTTTCTGAACTCGAACCCACGTAACAAATGATGCCTATAAGTGTTGGGAGTGACCATAAAGAATAAAATGCATCATGATTGTTGTACTGAGGAAATTTTTATCTACCAACAATTATTTGTCATCATTCATCAATGCTGACATTAAATTGTGGGGCCAAGTTATCAATAAAAAGGAAAAATAATTTGGGCTAAATCAGGAAAACAAGATAGTGAATGTATGATGTAATGCTAAATAAATGAATATTTTATTTGAAAATATTCATCGATCACTTGACACTTGGCTTCTGATCCAACTACAAACGGGCATTTTGAGTTTTTTTTCTTTTAGCCCTTGCAAAAACGGGCATTATAAGTATAAATTCATAAGTTCCCTCCTGTGTCTATATATCATGACGAGTCAATTAAAATATTTTAAATGACATGCCTTTTTAATAGATGTGACATAATATTTTAATTAATTACGTGGATATGAAAAAGAACACAAATAGGGGAGATAGGAGTCGAGTCGTATAACACAACCATATTCATATGTATACTCGAATACCAGATGAAAAGTCAATTGCCATGATCACTAACTGGAATGAAGACATAGGGGTTATATTTCTTACTTCTCTTTTGTTGCGAGAAAAAGTTACTATACAATAATACCGTATGCATAAAAGTTATGCTGAGGTAAAATCACAATGATAGCTCGTTGATTAATGGCCCCACTTTAGATCACAATATCGTACTTTCCAATATTCAACAGAACAAATTGAAATCAGCTTTAAAAAGGAAACACAAGAACACAATGCGCACACACACACACACAAAAAAAACCCTTAATTAGGTCAATTCAATCCACGAGTACCCCAAAGAGGCACGTATCAGGAGACAAAATTGTACCGAATGTTAGCCATGATTATGCAAATCTTTACAAGGGTCCAAAAGAGTACATTATATAGTACGTACCAACATTTGATGCAAGAGAAGAAAAGAAATGGAACTCCAGTATCAGCAGTTAAGCATTGTCTTGCAGCTTCATAGAACTAAAACCAACTATAATGCACCTGCCAGCTTATGGAAAATTGAAAGCCTCGCAGTTATGTATTATCACAACATCCGAAAATGGCATCTGTCAATCATAACGAACAGTTAGTCAAGTGACCTAAGTCAAAAACAAAGCTTTTGTGCTTAAGGGAAGGCAAGAGAATGTTAGCATGCACTTATTTTATCGTGTGAAGCAATAGTTAACTGTTTCCTCATGTTTTTGTTTCAATATATATACACACACACACATATATGCGTGCATACAAATATATATTTATCTGACATCTGTTTCCCAACCTGACCCCATGTGACAGTGAATTGAAAACCTATACAACACAACAACAACAACAAATATATAAAATTCTAAGAGGACAACAACAATGCAGCCCAGATATTGGAACTAGTTGTTACTACTGTTTATGTGGGGCAGCAAGTAAAAAATAAAATAAAATCACGCACACATACCCGAGCAGACCTCGGCCTTGCCATGTTCTAGGTGTCACGGTTATGTTAAGAACAGTGCCTTGTCTCATAAGTACAACAGGAATTGCAAGGCCATTATTACTCTGAGCTTCAGAAGCAAGTCGCTGCAGCAAATTGTCACCAGCTTCCACATTCCCAAACTTCACAATTTGATCTCCAAGTTGTAAGCCATCTTCGGCCGCTGGTGATACATCAGCTATTTCATCAACCATTGCAAAGGGTATGCTGATTTTCACGTCCACATCCTTGGTATCAGAAGAGTCCCTGGGAACATTGATTGAGGATGCTGATGCAACATCGTTGAGAGTGACCGTTGTTTGATTATCTGATCCCTCATCGAGACCTAGTGGATAATGGTTGTTAAGCCGTTATCGTAATCTTTCAAGGAAAAAAAAAATCTTAGCTCTAACTTTCAAAAGACAAGTAAAAGTATTAAACAAAATGAAAACAAAGACAGGCTCCGAAAGTGTAGACACCAACTGCTGTTAAGAAGTAAATCCATCGAAAGGTCAATATAAATACGCCACTGATATGAAAGCAGTTGAACACTGTGAGCAAAAGAAGACTTCTATTTTTTTTTTTTTTTTTTTTTGGTCAAAACAAAACCAGTTATATCAATTTTACCTACCAAAGCAACATTTAAGAAGGAAAAACATCTTATGTCATCTCTGTAATATAATGAATTGATAAAAATAATTCAGTAGAGACTCAAAACTATGACCTTCATAAGCAATTAGTTTCTAGCAGGTTGCACATCTTCTGAAGATCTCACAATGAAACCAAGGGGAAAAAAGGGTAAAAAACAATTTCAGCCATACCCGATTCTTTGACGGATAAAGATCTTAGAGCAAGCCTTGCAGAATGCAGAACTTGTATATTCTCATTTATCTTTTCAGTGATCTCCTTATGATCACTTTGCAACTCTGCAATAAGAAGAATCATAGCAAACTAGTATAAGATATCAAGTTGAAACACCACAAATGTAGCTAATGCATTGCAGCGTGCAAAAAACTACCAATCCCATCAGCACTTGACATTCAAAGAAAAGTCCATAAATCTTCTTAAGTTTACAATTCATAAAACTTCTGTAAATTATTTATTTTTAATTAAAAATTTTCAAAAAACTAATTAAGAAAGGCAAAGTGTTTGGTCCTTCACGAAGGACCGATCCTACATGTAACATGTAGAAATAGAAATAGGACTGATATAAAATGGCATTCATTCTATGTAATGATGATTTTGAAGGGTATAACAACAAGGAAACTACTTATACTCATTATTACATCAATAAATGTCATGTTATAACCCCTATTTCTACATGTTACAATATAGGATTGGTCCTTTGTGAATTCCTAAACAAAACTATAGACGTTTCCTTAAGTAAAATAATAATAAAAAAAGGTATAAAAAATGGACATTCGTCGCCATTCTCCTATAGGGTAATTTAAATCCCGGAGACAAAACTAACTTTCAATGGAATTTTCTTCCTAACATTAATATTTTTGAGTGCTTTGATATCTAAATTCTAGTGTCATACTCATACCGGAAAAATGGAAATTGGGTAGAATCTAGTTCTACTCTTAAATGTAACATTAACAACTAATAATCGATTATACACATTTGCATTCATCGAATTTCTTCACAAATTCCAATGTTCTGTTCTAAATCCCCTGACACCACCACTGAAAATTACCCCCAAAAAAAACCCAAAATTTACACAGCAGTGAGTGAGTGAGCATAATACCAGCAAGACAACGCCTTTCTGCTCGCACGGCTGGGATGTCGAGATCGGACCGAGGAAAACCCTACAAAAATTGAACAATAAAATCCCCTAAATACTCGTAATTAACACACATATACACATATTTACATAGTGTGTATGTACATATATATAAGTGTGTATATATAGAGAGAGAGAGACTTGGAGAGAGAAAGTGAACCTCAGAGTCGAGGAGATTGCCGGAGAGGCCGGGGCCGCCGGGCTGACAGAGGCGATCGATGATGGCGTTCATCTCAGCTTCCATAGCGGTTCTCTTCTTCATCAGATTCATTGTCTCTCCCTTCAGATTCGTCGCCACCATGTTTGGTTCTCCTTTTTCTCGCAGGTGATTTGATCACAAACCCTTCTTCTTCTTCTTCTTCTTCTCTCAGAGCTTCCCAGACTTGAGAAACAGCAAAAGAAAACGGTGGTAGCTGTGGCGTCTCGTCCAGTGTCCACCAAAAGACGATAGGGCCGCTTTTAACGCATTGGGCCAATTGTTTCGCAACAGCCCAATTAAATGAAGGAAAAAAGAGAGAAATAGGCTGAGATAAATTAAAATAAATGTGTTAAATTACTGTTTTTGTCTTTAATTTATTTTGTTATTAATCATAACTTGATAAGTTATTGTTTATAAATTATAATTTTTGTCCATAACTTATCTGGTTATGAACCATAACTTAATAAATTTGTTCATAACTTGACAAGTTATGACCTATTAATTTTTATAATTAAAAGTTAGCATATATATTTTCTTAAACTTTTTATATTGACCTATTTTTTACTATTTTCGTTAAATGAAAGGGAAATTTTCAGAAATGCTATAGAAACAAAGTAACACTATTTTATAGGTTATTTTTCATTTTTTGGTGGATTATTTTATAGGTAATGTGTCATATATTGCAGGTTATTTTTCATATATTATAGGTTTGTTTTATATCTTATGTGTCATTCCAGAACATCTTTTTTACTCAACAAAAATCTATCGCGGATTTTTTTTATTATTTACAAATTCTCTTTATTTCTCTCTCATTATTCCTATGTTTCTCTCTCACTCGCTCTCTATCTCTCTCTCAATTAGAGCGTAAGATTCCCAACTAGAACAGATAAACCAGATTACTAATAGAAAACCAGATTACAACAAAAACTTGCCATGGTTGACTGTCATTGCAGATCTAAAGTCAAGTGCAAAAATCAAACCACAATCTTTAAAGCCATGGCAAACAAACCTGAGACAACATGCATAAAAATGATGAGAAGCAGCTCCAGAGCTCTCGACAGACAGCGTCGGATCACCTTCGTGACGATCATCGGCGTCTGGGAGCCTTGCAATGATGGTCAGCACAGTGTTGTTGAGGAGATGTCGCGGTTTCGCGATGAAATCTCGAGGAGATCTCGTTGTTCCATGGAGATCTCGAGGTCATTGATGACGTCGCAGTTCTGCCAGTGTTTAGACGGAGTTCGAACGGAGAAGAATGTAATGTTCGAAAAATTTATCAGTAATAAATCCTTGAATTTATCAAGATTTAGACGATGAATTCCTTGGTAAACTGTTGAATTGTGTCAACATAATTTTGTGATGGAAGTTAAAGAAGTTCATTTTGTTTCGTTTGTTGAAATATTAGCTGCAAATTTTATCGCACATAAACTTATGATTTTATGTGATAAGATTTCCAGACTGAAAAGATCTCAGTAATTTTCAACGAAAAAGATGATACAAGAGAAATTGGTATGTTGAAAACTGGAATTACAATTTCCGGTTAAGTTTTGACTCAGTTAAGAAAACATATTAATTTAATCCAAGAGATTCTGGATTAAGTTACAAGAATGACTTAGAAGCAATGATAACAAATAATTCTATGTTACAACAATAGTAGTGACAGCAAATCCATCATGCCAAGTTCATGCCACAGTTAAACATGAGTTTATGGATACTGTCAATATGCAAACTATATTGAAATTAGAGATTGACAGATAAATTACTGATGATTTGATTTCATCAAATAACCTAGATAGCCTACATAGATAAATAGGTAACTTTTGATCCAATGGTGAAGATGTTGGGAATGATTTCTTAAAAGTATGAGATAAAATATAATATTTATTATTTATTTAATAAAAGAGTTTATTCATTATTTTATGCGCATATATTATTGAATATTTTATGAATATTACTAAAAATTTCATGATTATTTATGTGACCTTAAATATTGTATATAAGTGTTATATGATAGATGATAATATTAAAGGATAATAATTAAAACGATGTGCGTAATAAATTTAATTAAAGTTCAAAATCTTTAATTAAAACATTATTAATACATGTCATTCCCATTTAGAATGAAACGGTGTTATCCGCATTATTAATATGACGATATATTGAATGAGTGTATTACGCATAATGAAATTATATGAAACCGGGACACATATAATATTTGAATTTCTGATAATTTCCGTTAAGAATAAAAATTTGAATTGAGTATACCGATGGTCATATATAGAATGATCTTAATCCTGAGTTATTAACATACTCTTATTTATAGATTTGTGTCTTTTGATTTACTCGGTACGGATTCTGATATGTTAAATCATATTCTTTGTATCTTTGAGACATGATGAAATAGGTAGTCGAGAATGTTAATATACAAGATGGAATCCATTCCTTCTTGAGAAAGAAGTAGATAAATAATTCTCATGAGGGTTGATACGGTACTTAGACCAGTAAGCGCTCCGATTCATGAATTTATTTTATGAATCACTGTCTATTAAAGAATCAATAGTACTCAAGGATAAAGATGTAATTAGAGAGGTCAACGGATTTTACCTAGCTCTAATTATGAAGTAATTTATGTCTATAATTACGATAGTGCAATTCTAAGTTTATAGTGGAGTAACTTTTAGAATTAATAAGTTAATTAAAGAGTTTAATTAATTTTTTATTTTATTGGAGCTCGAAATTATAAGTCCATGAGTCCCACATCGTCTTTGAAATTAATTGAGAATTGATTATAAATTAAATAATGTGATTATTTAAATTTAAATTTGAATTTTGAAACACACATGTGAAGGTGTTGACATGATGTGAACGCACAGCACAATGTGAATCCTTCTGGGATTCAGTTGCTTGCTCTCAAGTTATCTAATTAACTTATTTGATAACTTGTCCAATTTGAAGTTCAAATTGATTTAAGTTTGACTTAAATTGGAATTTAAATTTGAGTCAAAATTGACATGTGGATAAGGGTGAGAGATTTTGTTTTAAAATCAAATTTGAAGTTGGAGATAATTATCAAGCTTTATATTAGAGATGAAGATTATACTTTTTCTGAGAGTCTGACTACTACTCTATAAATAGGAGATTGCAGAAAATTTGAGAACATATTTTTTTGCTCTCTCCTAGCAATAGTGGCCAGTTTCTATAGAGTGTGGGAAGAAACCAAAAATTTCACGTTGTGCATGTGTTGGTGTTCGTGGAAACCTTAAGTGTTTATTTGTTAATCTTGTTTTGCTTCAGGTGTGCTCATACACACATCTTCGTAGATTCAAGGAATTGACGGGAAAGATTCGGGTGTTCTAAACTAGCTTGAGCAAGGAACGTTCGAGGTCAAAGAATTCAAGTTAGCGTCCTAATTTTTCGCTAGGTAAATAAATTAATTTGATTAATTTATTCATGCATAAATTAATGTAATCTATAGAATATTTTAAAGTTTTATGAAAATTTTGTTATTCACGATCCGCTACTTACATGATTCTGCATCCGAAATCGTTTCAAAAACCAACAAGAGATTTAGTGAGCTTTCAAATCAATGATCAAGATTGATTAAAAAAAAAAAAAAAAAGAAGCTGAGGTTTTTTGTAGGAGAGCGCCAAGCAATGTTTATCCACTTACACAAGGAACCCATCATTGCAAAGTTAGTTGATGAAATTAGGATAATACCTAAATTAGTTAAGAGGTAATTTAAAGACCATGTGATATTAGAGCACTCTTAAGTAATGGATTAAAAAGGTGAAGTTGTGAAGAATATGGTGGTTAATAATGTGTAAAGCTACTCCATCGTCATCAAATTCTTTAACTAGTGGGTAAAATAATGCAAAATAAATTTTGAAAATTATTTACTCTCTCTATGGCCGGTTCCTATAGGGGAAGTTGGGCAAAAACTTTTGTTGTGAAAAGCCTCTCACATGCTTGTCTATATAAAGAAAGGGTTAGAGTTATAATTCTCCTATTTTTACCTCTTCTCATACTCATTTGAAGAAAGCTTTCTCTCCCCTCTTTCCTCTAAAAAAAACTAGCCCTTTCCCTCCCTCTTTCTATCAAAATTTTTCCTCCATCAAGTTAGAGAAACATTCACCTAGTAGTACAAAATTTTAAAGAGCAAGTGGGTTAGGTGTTTTGGGTATGATTTGTGTTCATTTCTCTTAGTTCTTCAAAGTTGTTGCATTTTCAAACTAGAATGTCAATGTTAGTTTTTCTTCTCTTAGAACTTAGATCAACCTAGAATGAGAAAAGGATCTCAAGAAAGAGAAGTCTCCAACAAGGGAAAAGAAATCAAAACCCTCTTTCTATTTAACTAAGTTCTAATGCTTTGAATATGTGATGAAATATGGTATTTTTACTAGGTTTGTCTCTTGATTTATGATTTTTGTGTACATATAAATAAAAAGAACATGATTATGGTTGAGATTTACTTCTTTATGTGTTTAAAGATAGTAGACTAGAAAGTCTTTGAAAAATTTGACTTTTCACCAATTTAGCATGATTGAAACATGTTACCTGATTGAAACAATTATATAATAGTATTTACATATTAAATAAAACCATAAACATTAATTTAACCAATTTAACTTGAATTAATTAAACGAAATAATTGAATTAATAAATTAGTCATAAATTAGTCACCAATCCAACAATTCAATTTTGAACATGCTGCGGAAATAACATAAGTTACCAATAAGTAGGAGACACTTCGTATCATATCAGAAAAGTATATGAGCTAGCCAATCGACATTTCAACATATATTATACATGAAAGATGGTATTATGCATTTTGGAAAATTGGGTTAGGTGGCACAATTTTAACCTTATTTAAGTGGATGACCATCTTTTTTTAAATTACGCCAATGGTTTTTTTTAAGTCAATCAGTTATAAATCGCAGTCAATCAATGATAGACTGAGATTAAAATAGGTTTTTAGCCATTCAGTGATAGACTATGGTTAATCTGTGATAGATTGTGAACAAAAAAAAAAAGGGAGGTTCTATGGTATGACCAGAAAAATGAACTACAGGCAGTTCCCTACTTTTAGCCATCAGATCTACATAATTGCATACTTTTCAATCTGATGTGATTTTGACAAGATTTAATAGTCATAAACTGGCACTACTGGAAGGACTGCCCTACTTTAGAAACTCTAAAAAAAAAAAAAAAAAAGGCAAAATCTGTGGTCATTCACGGATATACC